TTCATAGCTTGCAAGCAACTTGCAATTTTCACTTTCTATTCTAGCAGCTGGCAGAAAGTAAGCATTCATAACCATTATCTGCCAATCAACAGCTTGATAATAGTGTGCTGTAAGTGACCACTGAGAGACCCACAAACTTCTCCCATAATGGGATGTGGGATCATTATCTTCTTCTAGTTTATTTCCAGTACTTTTATTAGTTGTTCTACATAGATAGCTTCTGGAATTAGCAAAGATTGTCCCTACTGTTTTTACAGCTAAGTAAACAGAGGCTCAAAAAAAGAAATGAGAAGATAGGGTAATTTAACCAAGAATGATAATAAACAATAAATGAATCCAGTTTCTTTAACTAGAGAATTGATAGTTTATGCTCAAATACCTAATTAATAAACATAGGCTACGTGAATAAGTTTTTCAGACCATATTCCTAGATGTCACAAAGACACTATTATAGGCTCTAAGGGAAAATCAGTATGCAAGACCATATTCCTGCTCTCATAAAACCTGCATTTAGTGGTGATAGATGGAAAGAAAAATAAACAAGAAAGATATCAAAAATTATAAGAAGTACAATTAAACTAAGGTTTGTGGTAATGTGACTGTGTGACTACTTCCAACAGATTGTTTAAAGGAAGGCTTCTCTGAGAAGGTGATGGTTCAGCAGACACTTGACTGACAGAAGCAGACAGTCATGCAGAGATCAAGAGGAGGAACACTTTCAGGCAGAGGGAGCACAGCTCATGAAAGGTTCCTGAGGCCAGAACAAACCAGTCAATCTGAGGAACCAAAGGAAAGCCCTTGTGGCTGGAGAAAGCAGAGGGATAGGACTTGAATTCCAGAGGTAGATAGGAGTCAAGATTGATGGGTAGATAAAAGAAGGGACAGAACAGGAAAGGAGAGAACTAAGCAAGAGTACTAAATCTAGGATCCAGAGATCCTTTCACATGTTGATCTTTATAGAATTTTTCTCTTATTCCACATTCCTGTCTTAGCAGGTACTGAAGAATTAATATAACTTTTATTACTTGATATTTGAAGACATCACCATCCCTCAGTTATCACCTTAAATATCAATGAACACAGGATAGGACTGAAGATAAATATATCTTTAGAAAGTATAATAAAGTAAGATGAATAGGAATTACTTTCAAGAGACACTATTTTAGACAGCTTTTTCACTGCTGTGACTAAAAGACCTGACAAGAACAATTTTAGAGAAAGAAGAGTTTTGGGGGGCTCACAGTATCAGAGGTCTCAGTTCATAGTCAGCTGGCTCCATTCCTTGGGGCTTGAGGTGAGACAGAAAATCATGGTGGAAGAATGTACCAGAGGTAAGCAGCTCACAGGATGATCAAGAAACAAAGAAAGTCCTCCTCATCAGATACAAAATACAAACCCCAAAGGCACACCCCAATTACCCACTTCCTCCAGCCACACCCTACCGGCCTACAGTTACCAGTCAGTCAATCCTTGTCAGAGGATTGGATTCAGGTTCCCATAACCCAATCATTTCACTTCTAAACCTTCTTGCATTGCATCACACATGAACTTTTTGGGGACACTTCACATCTAAATCATAATACCAAACAAGAAAGTGAATTTTTCAATTATACTTGATTTGAGTCTGTTTTATATTGATTTACCATTTTCTTCTCAAGGACTATAGAAAGATATTCTTAGCTAATTAAAGATTCATATCTACTGATTCTGGTCAATGTTTTCTGGTACCAAAAGATGACTTTAATAATTCTCAAATCTTACTTGTTATATGAGATTTTTATTATAAGGAAATTTTCAAAAGCAATATATTTTAACAGTATATGGTAACTGAAACCCAAACAATTAAACTCTAAGAGGCCCATTGCTCTCTGTGTCCTCATACAAGTCAAGATCATCGATCAAAATCTCAGTTCCTCCTGCAAGAATTGTGATATATGCAGGTCTTCAACTAGAATCACAATAAAAAACTTTGATCTTATTAGATAAAAATGTTTTCATAATATAACCTTGGTATTTTACACATCTTAATTGATACTAGATTTTAGGGCTGATATTACAGTGACCCTATGATTTCTTCATTTCTCTCATACTCAGTCAGGAGCTGCTTTTTTTGTCTAATGTCCACAAAACCTATTTCAACAACACACTGATGGTGGCTTGAATTTGCAAGTACTCTCTTTCAGTAATCACAAAGCCATATCCAGAAATATTCATTAGCAACTGTATTTGCATCTATTAAATGTAGATTAAGAGGGTTTCATTTTAACAAGATTTTATTTACAAACTAATTGGAATGACAATTTATTACAAGTATGAAAATAATTAACTTAGAATTATTAGAGTTGAGTGGATCTTCTGGTTGTAAGGAAAAAAATGAAATCATTTTCTCCCATTCTATGGGCCTTGTTTGGAACTGCTACTTACGCCAGTCATTGCTATTAATTTCCCATTTTTACTTACTCTTTATTTTCACAGACATCTGAATTTCTGGTGCTGTTGATTTCATAAAGGCCCTTTTCAAAGATAAATTTGCTATGTATCAAAAGCGGTTGTTTAAATAAGCATTCAATTCTGACAGTTTTGCTGTTGATACTTTCATAGCAACAGCTGGAAGAGCACTTTACCATCAGTCATGGCTTTCTTTGTTATGCTTTCATTTTTTTTTCCTCCGATCAAAGTAAGTATGTTCTTAAAACACATATTGCCCTGCACAACTTTCCCCCATGTTTAATAAATGTGACTCTCCACAAATGAACAATGAACAAAATCTTAATATCTTCATTCTTCCTTACAGATGAGGGGAAAGTTCTTACATCATTTTCTTCATGTTTTTAGTCAATGATATCCAATATTATTTTGTTACATATCAGTAAATTAAATAAGAAAATAAAGTTTATTCACTGGTATAATGATTTGGCCATTTGACCATGAAAAAGAACATACTTAATTTGAAAATATAATATTCAGAAAGCACAAATACAACGTTCCTATCTCAAACATGTCAAAGGTAACTTCATCAGTCCCATTCTTACATTAACACACACACACACACACACACACACACACACACACACACTCTCACACACAGAGAGTTGTCTTAAGATAAAAGGGCTGTAAAACTATGAGACTTAATCTCTGCTTCAGGCTAATGGAAAAAAAAATTTTCATTTTTATTTCACATTCTGAAAAAAATTCCCTTGACAGAAAATGTTCTGAACTAGACTCTGAGAGGCAAATATATTTGCTTCACTTAAGGTTTTCAGAATGTCAAAAGAAAGAAGAGGGGTCAAAAAGGAAACAAAAGTTCACCTAAAATAGATAAACTTCAAATGTTAAAAGACTTTTTAGCATATCGAACAATTTTAAATCCCAAATATTAAACTATAAATAAATATTTGAACGACAGACACCTTACCCTGGTACACCCAGGATTAAAATGGTCTCATGTTTACTCCTAATCATATGACTGAACTACTGTTTTAGGAACTACAAATAAATGATTTATTCATCATAGTGTGACAGAGTTATGTATGATTGATTGGTATGAAATAGAAAGGGACTTTGTCCTCAGCAAAAGCTTAGAACAGGGCCTGTCCAGTGCATGCTGTCTGTCCATCTGCAGCCAGCAAACTCAATGACTGCTTCCCCATCTGGTAAGTAACTCAATAGATTTTTCACAACGTAATTCCTACTCTACAATAAATAATCTATGTTTTCTAGATTCTATTCATCCTAATACAATGACCTCAATCTTATCTTAGATGTTTTGAATCTCACCATGGGTTTTTAAGTTCGAAGAAAAAAACAGGCAAGCAGGGAAGCAAAGTATTATTTTTCGTTTTTTTTTTCTTTTACACAAGAAAACACTAGTATTGACAAAACAATGATAGTATAGAAATTCTCCTGATTACACATACCTTAAAGCTTTACCTTTGCTTTTTCATTCCGTTTCAATAATTAGACCAAGGAAGGAAGAAGGGAATTTCTAGTCTGGTGGTCATGCTACACATCCTATAATTTTGTTGCTACTTTTCCCCCTAGCCAAATAGCTCCATTAATCAGCAGGAAAAAAAATATGCAGCAAACAATCTATACATCTGAATATTATCCCCAACAGAGAGCTGAAAATTGTAAAGTTGCTTCCTAAAGAACTTTTCTTACATTAAAGAACTCTAATGGCATGCCAGGAACCTCAGAGCAGTATCAGTATTACTTCAGGTTAGTCTGTACTCTGGTTGTAACTAAGAATATGGCAAATTTAATGAATTTACTTAATGAATGAATTTAAAAATTCATTTTAAAATTGCCTTTCTCCACAGCCAAAGTCCTATTTCCAAAGTGATTAAATTCAGTCTCAGACATATTTTTATCCAGATAATTTCAGTTAATTTTCCTACTAAAATATGATAAATTATTGTATAATGGTGTATTCGGAATTGTAATGCAAAATAAATAAATAAATTGTTTTCCTACTAAAGAGTTTTACAACTTATAAATTCTTTAAAAAAACAAAACTAGAAATGGACCTAATCACCTCTGATATTTTATATTGGTAGCTTTGTACACTGTGATTACTATTGATTGTTATATTTCCTTTGCGTCAAGAGAATTTGTTTCTTTAAACAAATTGATTCTAATAGTCCTAATTACTTTGATTGGTATCACATGGGTAGTGCTTTGTACTACTCTACCATGCAGTACAGAATTAATCATTTATTTGATTATATATGAAAATTAATTTAAATCTTAACATACTAAAGCATTTTGTGAAATATTAAAAAATACTAAACCTTTAGTTTTTTCTCAAATTCAGTTCATATGAATCCTGATTCTATTACTGAATATTTAATCTATATAATCTTTAAGGCATATATGTGAAATCACAGTAGTACCAGTAATAGTTTATTCTGCATATATATCATTGTGTGAATTGTGAAAATCAGTGGCAGATCTCTAGGCCACATTAATATTTTATATACAAAACCAAAACTGAATAAAAATACTGCCAAGTGAAGAGGCTTTATTTGTACACTCTTTCTGCATATTAGTATGATATACATGTAATACTAGATAGTCACAAGGCTGAGAATGTGGGTAGATAAATGAAATAAAATAAGACTGAAGTCAGACCTGATCCCAATAACCATTTTCCACTCTATATTTACACATAAGATAAGTTGTAATTCCCTGGCAGAATTAGTTTTTTTCTTAATCAAAAATAATTTATTATTAAATATTAAAATATAAAAATAGAAATCACTTCTGAAAAATGCAAATTATTTCAACAGATGGCAACTTCTGCATATCCCAAAGGAGAGGATTTTAAGTTCGAATTTTTAAGAAGGGTATAAAATAACATACAAAAGCTGTATCAAAATAAGACTTGCTTTGACTCTAGACCAAAGTCCTCTACTTTAATATCAGTAGATCTAAGTCATTTATGAACATTTTTTATTTGATGTTATACTGATTTAATTATAATGACAAAAGAAAACATGGATCTAACATTAGCTCTTGGTACTTGAAAGTACATTTTAAATAATTTTGTTCCCTTCCCCCATCTACCCAATCTAGAATCTTGTTGAACAGTTTCAACACACTTTTATAGAATAGTGAAATATATCTTTATACATGGTCAGGAGTAGTAAAAATGGAAAAATAAGTGATGTTGGAAATCTGATGGCAATACTAAGTTCAATTCAACCATAAGTACAGTTTTCAGTTGCACTGTTACAAGTCACCAGTGAAAATGAATCCTGATGGCCATAAGGAGGTTATGTACCTCCCCAAGTGGATAACTTATTTTCTTTCTAACCAACACTGGCATTAGGAAGAAAACTGGCAGGCACAAATTGCTGGAAAATGGTTGCAGGTGCCCTAGACATTAACTCTGTAGACACACAGAGAAAATGGAAAAAAAAAAAACCTGGCTTTTACAGATGAAAAGCCTCAGAGGACCTCTGTCAATGGACATCTTATGACTGGAGAAGGATTAAAATGAAAGTAAGCACCTCTTGGTGGAAATGGCACCAACAAAATTGAGTCAATAATCTGAGCACTTCTTCCTACATGGTTTGACTGAACCTGAGGTAAGCAACAATAAAGAATGAAAAGTACAGATCAGAAAGGACAGATAAACTTAAGCCCAGAGGTCTATACAAAGCCTGTGAATACAATATCTACTTCTTTCTCTTCCTTTTAAAACAAAAGTGTACCACATAAGAACCCTTAATGTTTGAGAGAATGACAAGACAAAATCATAATTATTTTGATGTGCCAACAAACCCATCCTCTTAGATATCAACAACTGACTATCAATAAGACTGAAGTTCAGACCAAATCCCAATGTTTTGGTCCTTTTTGCACAAGAATCGTCTGAAATGGGTACCACTAATGCATCCATCACAACAATTTGCTTCTAAGATGCTTTGATCAAGTCTCAGATGGATCATCCCCTCTTGAAAAGTTATTTTTTTTCCTGAAGTTCTTTCTGTGCCAATGTCTGAAAAGCAAAGAATCAATAAATACTCCTAATGAAATCTAAATTCTTTGTGTGTGTGTGTGTGTGTGTGTGTGTGTGTGTGTATGCATGCATGCCTGTGTGCATGCATGCGTGTTGTGCCTGTGTGTGTTGCTATGGATTGAATGCAGTACCTTGCACATGCTAGGCAAGCACTCTCCCACTAAACTATATCCCCAGCCCTTTTAATTTTTTCAATTTTTTGTTTGTTGTTTTGAGACAGAGTCCCTCACTAAGTTAACCAGGGTGGCCTCAAATTTGTGATCCTCTTGGCTCAGCCTCCCAAGTAGCTGGGATTACATGTGTACACTACCACACCTAGCCTCAATTTAAATTCTTTTTTTTTTTAAATATACTTGTCAAATTTTATGTAGATTTTTTTTACACATTGCCTTTATTTTATTTGTTTTTATGTGGTGCCAATATAGAACCTAGTGCCTCACGCATGCTAAGCAAACACTCCACCCCTGAACCACTATCCCAGCCCTCAACTTAAATTCTTAATAAAAGATTCTGAATCAAATGTATGATATATGATATGTCAAGATCAATGTAATGTTTTGAGCAACTAATAAATTTCTGAAGTTTAAAAAATTAAAGATTCACATAAAATTTACCTGAATTTAATATAACAATAACTTTGCACCTTTCTGGATCATGTATTTGAAAGTTTTTATAGAAATCATAAGTCAAAACATATTTGGAACATTTTTGAACAAGCAAATGTTTATAAAAATAAACATGAGGGCTGGGGCTCAGCGGCAGTGAACTTGCCTGGCATGTGTGAGGCACTGGGTTCAATTCTTAGCACTGCATATAAATAAATAAAATAAAGGTCTATCAACAACTTAAAAAACCCCAAAATTTAAAAAATTAAATAAATATCATGAAACAAAATATAATATATAAAATCATGAAACAAAATATAATATATAAAATTAAAAATATATTTTAACATGTTTTTTGCATCTTTGTATTAAATAGGATATGGCAAATATTGTGTTGATTTTATAAACAACCTAAGTAAGTGGTTAAAGTAATTCAAATATAATGAAAGTATAATTTATACCTATCAAAAACAAAAAGCTTTTATGCGTTATGAAAGTTAGTTAACTGTGTCAGTGCATTAATCCTATAATAAGAGAACAGTTTTAGTCAAGGAACAACAGTGAGGTCAGATTTGAATTTTTTAAAAACTTAGTTTGAAATTGTACATATTTTCTTTGACTATAACTTACTTTAGGTAGCATCTAACTCCCCAGGAGAACTCAAAATATGTTACAGATTAAAATTCTGACTTTAGTTTTATTCATTGTTGGTTTTTGGTTTTTGTAGAAGATCAAAACACTAATTCAAGGATACATAACTCAATAAAACCATTCCTACCTGAAGGTAAAATAAAGCAAAACAGAAGCTGAATAATTAGTGACTTACAAACTCCAGAAATTCGATTTCTGTTTGGAGGGCTTCATAAACACTCTCTAGGTCCTCTTCCTTATAAAGTTCTAATTCTTTTTTAAGTCTGTTTTAAAAGAAAAATTTCCTCTATAGTTGAACAATAAACTATTGCATAATATTTTTTACTACACAGACAGTGGGAGGTTTGTAGTTTCAAAAATCAGAATTTCAAATTAAAACTAAAGAACTTAGAAATTTTAATTCTCTATAATTCTTTAAGAACTATATAAAATTTTGAGAAAATATCTCCCATGAAGTAAATAAATTATACAATAAATAATAAGCACTATTATTAACTGCTAAATTAATAATTAATATTAGTAATTTTATGGTAATTAAAATAACATGTTTCAATGGAAAAAATATAGTAGTATTCCAGAAAACCTCTGTTTTAGTCCTGGCCACTAACAAACTGACAAAGCTTGGTTAAATCATTTAGCATTTTTGAACCTCACCTTAAATTTTACACACACACACACACACACACACACACACACACATATTAGTTAAACATGGACACAATATCTTTATTTTATTTATTTTTTACGTGGTGCTGAGTATCGAACCCAGTGCCTCTCATGTGCGAGGAAAACACTCTGACATTGGGCCTTAACCCCAGCCTTCACCTGAACTTTTAAAACAAACAAGTCAATAAACAACAACAAAAAAACCTCTAACATTTTTTGTTGTTCTAAAATTAACAATATTTTAAAATACATATATAATCAAAATGTTTTGAGAGTAAGAATACTACATTAATGCTTTCCCCAATTAAATCTTTAATCTTTAAAATAATTTGAAATTTTTAAAAAATTACTTTATGCTTGTGTTTAATATGGAAAATAGTGAAGAAACCATTTTTCATTATGACTAAAATTTCTTCCAAAAAGAAAAACATAATCAAAAGCCAGGAGCTGTGACTGCAGAGGTAGAGACCTAAAACTGGGAGTGTGAAGCTGCCCTGAGGGCATATACTGAAAATGACAGAGCTGGGTGAAAAGTACAATCAACTTGAACCTTTGTTGAGAACTGAGCCTCAAGGTGAAGGCAAAAGGGTTGTAGGCCAGCAGGATCTCCCAGAATTCCAGCAACAGCAAAAGAAAATCCTCTCTGAAGGAACCCTTAACTTACTTTGACCTATAGGCTTTCCCCAGATTACAAACAATTGAGGTTGCAATCAAACATCTCCAAGCACACAACTAGAAAGTTCAGTATAAGTAAAAGTCAGCAGAAACAAGAAGAGATGATAGGTTATATTCATAATATACAAACAACATGAATGTAGAAGAAAAAAGATGGAATTGGGCAGAAATTGGAAAATGGACACAAAACAAACCAAAAAACAACTTTTAATCGTTTTTCAAAAAATATCCCATGGCTAATAAAAATATTCAATGGTTTTCAACTTTATTAGTGATCAGAGAAATATAAGGAAAGCACAATGAAATACTACATATCTACCAGTTTAGCTAAAACAATGGTTAGTATCAAATCCTGCTAGGGACTTGGAGAAACTAGAACTTTCAGAATACTAGCATAGGATATTGCATTCCATTCTTTTAATATATGTGTCTTTACATTTAAAGTGGATATTTTCCAAGAAACCAAATAGTGTGTCTTATTATTTTATGTCAAATGACACTCTGTTTTTTAATTGGCATATTTAAACCATTTATAGTTAATGTAGTTACCTGTATTGATTTAAAATACAGTATTTTTCTAGTTGTTTTCCATTTATTCTATCATTCTTTGTTTTTCCCCTATCTTTGTCTAGTTTGAGATTATTTTTATGATTGCATTTTATCTCCTCTATTCCTATCTATTTTTAAATTTCAACAATGATTGCATCTGAGTGTATACTATGCATCTTCATTTTAATACTGTGTACTCGAAAATATAATACTGTTGCTGAACTTACAGGATAAAAACATTATATCAGTATGTTTCTAATTTCTCCCTCACATGTTTTTGTCCTTTATCATTTTATAAGTCTCTTTTTACATATATTACAGACCTAAAATATATTGCTACTATTTTTGCTCCAGTCATTTATCTTTTTGATCAATTAAAATAAAAAAGTGTGTTTTATATTTATCTTCATCCATTTCTGAAACTCTTTAATTTCTTTGTGTAGCTCCAAATTTCCATTTGGTATCAAATTCCTTCTTCGTAAAAATCTTGCTAATCTTTGTAGTGTAATTTGTTGGCAAGGAATTCAATAAATTCATGTTTGTCTAAAAAATGTCTTAATTTACTTTCATTTCTGAACAATATTTTTACTGAGAATTCTGAATTGTGACAGCTCTTACTTTAAGATGTCATTTTTTGTCTTCTGATTTGTATAACTTCTAATGACTCGTCCATTCTGATTCTTATCATTATTCCTTTGTATGTAAGGTGTCTTTGTGTTTTTCTTCATGATTTTCTCTTTATATTTGTTTTTCAGGGGACTGAATATGGTGCATATATAAGTTTCCCTTTTTTTAATGCTGCTTGGTCCTCTCTGAGCTCCATGCATAAATGCCTTGAAGTATTTTATTATTTTTGTAAAACTCTCTGCCCTTATCTCTGGCATATGGAACAGTATGGATGAATCTCAAATGCATTATACCAAATTTAAGAGCCAGACCTTAGAAATTACAGAACATTTCACTCCACTTATATGACATATTAGAAAAGAGAAAAACCAGGAAAAGAAAATAGATCAAGGACTAGGCACTGACTACACTGATTATCAATGGGCTAGAGGAAAAATGTGGGGGTAATAAAAGTATCTTTATTGTGGTGGTGGTTACATGACTGAATGTGTTTTTCAACTCATAAATCTGTATACTAAAAAGGGTGAATTTTACATTATATAAATTATACTTCAATAAACCTGTCTTTTAAAAAAAGAAAGGCACTGGTAGGAGTTTAGGTTCTTATAAGATGGCAACTATCACCTAAATTAATAAATGCATAAATAAAAGCTCTCACTAAAAAAAAAAATTGAAATCACCCATAAACCATCCATAGGAGCTAATGAGGAAATAGAAGATATTACAAACTTGAAGTTACATTTAATTAGGGAAATAAACATCTACATCCAGCTGTGAAGCCTATACCAATGGGAGGGAATTAAGCAGTAGTTAAATGGAAGGGAGGAGAAACAAAAAGGGTCTCAGGGGTGAATAAACAGTCTGAAGTGAAAGGTCCACCCCACGTGGAAGAACACTAACAGGTCTGAGACCTCACAGGTTAGAGAGTAGGGACTTCTGCAGAACTGAAGAAGGTTATTTTAATCAATACTTCTCTAATCATTTGAATGGAAAAGGACTTTGTGTTTTTTTTTTAAATTTAATGACTTTCTTTTGTCTCTCTAGGGCCCTTAATTTCCATTTTTTGCTTCCTATATGTCTTTTAAGGTTACAGCCCTTTCAAGATGTCTATTTCTCACAAAGGTACCATAGCTGGATGGGAAAGATTTTGTTTTATTTTTCTGTAGAGAAGATTCTTAAAGAACTATATTATGAACAAAAAGCAAAAACACATTTAGATGCCAGATAATACCCAAATGACATAAACTTGTCTATACTATAAAAATAAGGAAAAAAGTTAACTTCCTTCCCTGAAGCAAGCATAACATGATACCTAAACTTGATAAATATAATGCATACACACACACACACACACACACACACACACACACACACACACACACACACCAATAAATATCGATGCAAAAATTATAAATGAAATACCAGCTAAAAAGCATCCAATACCACATTAAGGAAATAATAACCTATGATCAATGAGGATTTATTTCAGAATTGAATGTGCAGTTCAATATTACAAATTCATTAACATAACTGACCATACTAATTTCTAAGGAGAAAAATATTAAATTTATTCCTAGAAGTGCTGAAACCACCTCTCAATTATTAAAAATTCATCCCTAATAAAAATTCTCAGTGGGCTGTGAGAAGATGGCCTCGAATACAGTGCATCACACCCCGTGTACCGCATCACTGCGCAGGTGAATAACAAGTTAGAGAGACAAAAAACTATCTTGTTAGGAATTTACAGCAAACTAGGGGTGCATCGAAACCTAGAGGAAGGATTTCCAGCACCTAGGACTGGTTATTGAATCTCTAACACGAGCCAACTGTGTGACCGGAGTTCCAGGGTGACTGATCTGCCGCCCGTAGTATGGCCCGCCCAGAGGCTACAGACGGCGGGGCACTGCCCAGAAGCGATCAGCAAGCAGAGAGAAACAGTGCTATGGATTCTGTGGAATACTGCCAGCTGTGCCCTCACTGAGCTTCGGCTGAGGTTGTGATTTGAGACGAGGAAGGAAGCGGTCCAGTTCTATCTCCCACAATGGAAAGTCCACCAAGGAAGCTAGCAGCCACCATCTTGGAGAGCTGACATCATCACCGCCACTCTCGACAGATTGCAACAATAAAACAGGTGTGTATTACTCGGCCCATCTCCCATACAGCGGGAAATTCTAATAAAATCTCTCCCAGGCTTTCCGGGGGAGGGATTTTTCAAAACGAGCCTGCATAGAGACATGGGGAAAGGAAGAGACACGTGACCTTCAACTCCCCCTCCCATCAGCAGCGAAAACGAAACCTGTCTAGCCAGTGCTGGGGGAGGGGCAAGCAGAAAAAATCAAAACAATAGGGTGCCGGGGTTCCCAATAGCCACCCTCCACACCCAGCAAACTGCAGGCCCAGAGGACAGTTTGAATTGCCGAGAGGCATCACACAGGGAAAGGCAGGGCTAGCAGGAGAAACCAGGGCTAGCAGGAGAAACCAGGGCTAGCAGGAGAAGCCAGGGGATGAGAGGCCAGGCCCTCGCGACTGGGCAGCTAGAGATCGCCCGCCCGCAGGCGACCAATTGCCCGCCTGCTGCCCTCGCGACTGGGCAGCTAGAGATCGCCCGCCCGCAGGCGACCAATTGCCCGCCTGCTGCCCGCGCAACTGGGCGGCTGGAGACCACCCACCCGCCGGTGACTGCCTGCGGCCCCCGCAACTGGGCAGCTGGAGACCACCCAAACGCTGGCGACTGCATGGCTAGACC